AATATTACAATGAAAATAATATTTGTATGTGTTTTTCTTATATTCTAATTAGACTGGTTTACTTTCAATTCATGTCTGACTACTTTTGAAATTTCCCAAACCTTAGGTCAAACATCGGATTTCACAGGCCAAACCTTAAAATAAACTAACTTAATTAATATTTGATAACATTTCAGTACATTTCAATACAGGTAATAGAAATCTGCAGGAAAGCGATATATAATTATAATGGCAACAGACAACAAAACTAAATAAGTTAATAGTTTTAACAAAAAAAGTAAAGTTTTATGCATTTAGTCCAAAGTAATTTAACATTACTAAAAGTTTTCCGTTCTCTTTTCTTGTGATTGTGAAATGGATTTTTATAGAACAAAGCTTTAATTTTTTTTATATTTATGCTTGAAGTTTTATATATTAAATGAGGCAAACTAATACTGTATAAATGAACAAATTTATGTTCTTTTTTTCACAAGCGTAGGGCCTTTGGTGGCTAAGATCTTAAGTCTATCCCACGATACAGTATTAGTTTTCATAGTTATGAATCGGTAAATGTTTGTTTGTCTACCGAATATAGTATAACCCATTCACCTTTATACTTTTCAAAGTAAAATGTTTTACACACACATACTAACTACATCAAATTCCTTGTTCATAGCCAATTCATTTTTCTTTGAAACCTAATTACAAATATTTACAAAATTAATGTGAAATTTTTGAAAAATTGATGCTGTGTAAATAAAAGAAATATTTTACAAAGTTTTACTAAAGAATTTTACCGTAATTTGCAAGATAAACAATATATTTTCTGCTTTGATGAAGAAAGTATTTCAAAAACAATGAAACCGAATCTATTTATATCTATAATAATTGGGGCACGCGTCTTACCGAATTATCAGACTTTTAATGGAATTTTACCGATACACAGTAGTTTACTATTTTACAAAATCACTCAATGAAGGTCACATGTGTAATAATTTGTGTTTGTTTGTTGTTAAACACGAAGCTACACAATGGGATATCTGTGCTGCAATCATCGCATGTATCGAAACCCGATTTTTAGCGTTAAATTATGCATTCTTGTTTATCACTCCGATTCTGAGCAGGGAGTTTGGGAGTCTGTAACGCTAGAATTCGGTGTTCAATCCCCACGGAGAACATAGTGTAGATAGTCAGTTCTTAAGTTCATGAGTTCCATCGATCTGCTGAATAGCTACAGAGATTCTTCCACAATGTGAGCTATGATCTTGTTAAATTAATTATAAATATTGCTTCAGTGATACTTATGCTCCAAATTTAAGAGTTTTCACCATCCGGACTAGAGTTTTTTTTGTATTTTAGTAGTGCTTTTGATAATATGCGTCAGTAAAGCATTATACTTATGTTTAACCACTTTCATTAGATTTAGCTTTAACATATTTGAAAGTAGTCTGGTTTGAGAATTACATTTATTGCAATGTTAATACCCTTTAGAAGCTCAATGAAGCATTGCCTTAACATGGATTGCTCCTTACGCTAGCATACATGTGTAAACTTTAGATGACAATCATTTATAGCAATGCTTTTCTGTATTTTTTCATTGTTTATATTCTTCAGTGGACCTAATGAAACCGTATACGAGCTGGAGTACACACACTCCGGCGTTCAACTTGTAGCAAGCATTTCTCAGTTATCACCGACTCTATAGTTTAATGATGAACAACATAAAGTACTGTATATATTTTAACGACATTACTTGTTTAAACACTTATTTGTCGTTCAATAACTACTTTAGAAAGAATACATGCTCTGATAATAACGTTTACTCGAATGTACAACACAAGATAATGAATATATATATATATAACATTCAAGTATACAATGTTGATATTCGTGATATTTGGCAACATTAATTTAGCATTGTTAATGTATCTGAGTAAGCATTCGATTTCAATCTGTTCTTATATTTTCTATTTACTTCCTTTTCTCCTATACTTTTAAAATGTTTATTATTATGAACAACCATTAAAAAGTTTGAATTACTTGTATAATTTGTATAAAAAAAGACTTTTGAAGAGTAAAATTTGTTTCTTGTCTACATATATATATATATATATTATCATAATTATATTGAATACATCCGAGGTTGAACTCAACTCCTTGTAACAGTGCAAAGATATATTAATTAATTATTTATATCGACAATCACCATAAAATAAAGGTTGACGGAAAATAATAAGATTGAGTTTTTTAATGACTACATCATATAGGATGCATCATTGATGACAAAAAGAAGTATAGAGAACGTTACATTGCACAAAACTTTCAAACATGTATTTATTACTCAAGCTAGCCTAATTATGTCTGATACAACTTCAAACATAAATTAAATAAACAAAAATTTTAAATTGGTTAAACTAAATATTTAACACAACACTAAAAATGAGTTCAAGTTTTACAGGACATTTTTCCAAACTAATGTTTCCTCTGCCAATTCTTTTCACAAGCTTGATGAGTAATTAAAGTAAACAAATTAAGAACATAAATAAATATTTCCTTAACATAAGTATCAAGGTGGTCCTTGACCACGTCACACAACCCCTTTCCACCATATTCTTTAAGGAATTAAGGTAATAAGAAGACTTAACGAATGGTGTTTTAGTGCTGAGGTGCCAAAACTTCATGAATCATATGAAGTTGGAGTCAAGCGTTGCCCAACGGTTATCGTGCTGGGTTATGGATCTGCGGGCTCCGCGATCGCATCCTGTTACTACAAAATAAAAATTAATAATTGCGCTTGGGTTCGTGGATGCATCTGGAGGGAGAGGTCAGATCTCACTGTCAAGCTAGACAAGAGTTGGTGAGGGATGCTGTTGTCTAACCGTCTTCCCTCTAGTTTCTCAGTTCGAAAATACGAACGGCTAGCACAGATGGCTTTTGAGTAGCTTTTTGCGAATATTTCAAAACATGTGAATCTCAGAGAAAAGCTGTAAAACGTGAGAAAAATCATAACATGAAATAAGCGCATTTCTTGCTCAAGCATAACCTACTGTGCATAAGACCTGCCTATAATATCCAGAAGTTTATAGTACAACATGTAAAAATATATATTTAGATTAACAATGCTCTGTAAATGTGATATACTCTTATTTAAGTCTGTAAAATTGATGCTGAAAATAATTTTTATGACCAATTCACAGTGGCTTTCACATATCCGGTGTGGTCTAATGTTAAAACTACAAGTTTTTGAAGTGCAATTTTCATGAATGGGCTACCTTAGAAGGGGTAGTATACCTAAATATTACATTATTTCTTAATATGTTTGCTACTGTTTTGCTTGATGAAATCCTATCAATTCTGGAAACTAGACGTTTGGTCGCACATTTCGTGGAAAGACATTTCATCCAGTTTTACAGTGATATACGAATTCAACCAGGTGAAATACTGAACTATAATTGTGTAGAATTGTAGTTAAGACATTATGTAATGGCTCTGTTCAGTGTATTAGGGGTAATAAGACATACTCGGGTCCAATGATATCTAAGTGTCTTAAGTAGATACTTTCCAGGAGCTGTGTCGGAGATTTTATTTAGCCATTCAATGTGTTGTATCAGCAGTAGTTATAGCTATTCCTAATTTAAAAACAATAATATCAACATGTTTAAATGGTAAGCCCAGAGTTCTGATCTAAGGTACGTATTTGGAACTAATCTGAAGAGGCTACTTTGAAGTATTAAACCTCAGCCTCACAGTTATCATAATCTGGAAGAGTTTTTCAACCAACTTGGAGGTCAATTATAGCACAGTTGGTAACATGATTGCAGAAAAACAGTAGCTATTAAGCTTAAGGACGGTGATGCAGAGTTCAATCCCATCTTTAAAGATGGAGAAGTGTAAATATACTTTTGTCAGTGCTCTGGAAGTAGAGAACGCAAGCATTATGTTTGACAAACAAACTAATTGATAAACACCCGTTGTTCAATAATGAGTATTTGTAACATAAAGTGTTAACTACGCGGTTAATTCAAATTATAATCTATTGCTTTAACGTGATATAGGTAAAACACTATAAGTGGCAACGTGACATTAAACGATAGTTATACATAGAACATAATTTCTGTCTGTACTCAGATTGTAAAATAGATTTGGAAACAATACACTTATATTGATTACAAAGCCAACAGTTAAATAAGTATATGTTTTATTTATACAAAAAGATTAGTCAAATTGAATTATTTTCTGCAG